GCAAATGAGATTTCTCATTTACTTTCAGACTATACTATGCATTAACGTGTTAATGGACGGAACACAATTTTCCCAGCGTAACGCCCTGCCACTGTGCCTGGAATGGAAAACTACTCTGTGATTACATGTGGGGAACAGCGCGGCCGATAGCGCGACCCGGGGCGCACAAGGTCAGGGTTCACGACCACTCGCCACCACCACTACCAGCACCTCCAACACCATGGGCAAGACATTTCTTCTAAAAATAACCTCTGACAATGTAAACGCCTACGCCGGGATTCCGTAATATTTGACACCTCAAACTGAAAAGCACGCAGTTGAGTCGATAAAATGGATCCAGTGCACCAGGGGGTGTAGAGTACCCGGAGCTAGCTGAATGGGGCGAAAAGGGGTAGAATATAATGTGCCTGCGGATACCTACCGACCTCCAACAACACTACTACAAAATTCGCAGTCGACTGCGTCCTGAGGTAAGCTAGATTGGACGTCGACTGACACGCTCTCTGAACGCCGTGCTCTGACATGAAGTGCAATATTTATTTGACTGAATGCGACTCTATTAAGATTTAATTCTGTACGCCAACCCTGCTGGGCGCAACGAACTTGCACAGATTTCCACCTACAAGGGTGGCACCTCGAGGCCGTAGTAGACTCGATGTACTCTGTCCCGTCGTCCACACTTAAGTACTCCTCTCCTCCTCTCGTCCTGCGAGTTCGGTGCTACCGCCCGCCAGCAGCAACAGCAGCAGTGGTGCGCGGCTGGCGCGGGGCTCCCTGGAAGATTTATGCGCCAAGCAGCAGTGCTAACGCAATTAGGTCACAATTCCCCCTCGTCTTTTCGGCACGCAGCGCTCCGCGTGCTCATCCAGGTGAGCGGCAGCGCGTCCCGGCGCGTCCCGGCGCGGCATTGTCCACGCGGGCGCCTCCACTGCCTCCAACCTTCAGCGCGTTCTCCACTTCGGCTCCGTACACGCCGTGCTTGGGTGTCGTTCAAATACTACATGTTCTTTTAAATTTTATTTTGGGGGGGGGGGGGGGGGGGTACAAATATCATGGGGTCCCAAAATGATCAGGAACATCATTTGAGTGCATAGAAAGACCCCATGACATTTCTACCCCGGGGTGCAAATACCCCCCCCCCCCCTTTCAAAGGGCACGTTGTATTTGGACGACCCCTTGGCAGCCTCGAGGCGCAGAGGAGGGGAGGCTGCGGCGCGCTCGAGAGGTGTGGAGGGGGAACGGGAGGAAGGAATGTGTTGTTCATTAGGGTCTTCTTGGCGCCCCGACTGCCCCTCGGACCCTCTGTATAAGTTTGGCCCCGTAAAACTGCCGACGAGCAGAGCAAAGAAAGTTTGAACTCAGATACACATTTGTATTCCGTTCGCAGCTCCCTACGGAATCTGTAAGAGATTATTGAGATATTAACACATACAAAAAATGGGAAAGATTTTGAAGAATTTATTTTAAAAAGAGAAACACTCTGGTGTTTCAAACTGAATTGCGTGACTAGTGGTCATATAAGGAGATGATTTTAACGGTAGTCGGGCTACAGTCCCTACAGGTCAACACCTTCAGTCTGACGGGGCCACAATTCGGCCACGATTTACTGGTCCTACCCGGTCCACACCATATGGGCTGTATCACCTAAATACTCCCTTAGGTAGGTAGTGCGTCAACTTCTTTCGATTCACGGCTACTCAACGGGCACGATTGCCGACGGTTCAAAAATGCGTTCACATGCTTGACCCCCCCCCCCCCATTTTGGCTACGCGAGGCCTGCCCAAACGCCGCCACAAACCCCCACACGCAAGCCCCGGCTCGGGCCTGGTCACAGAGAGCAATGATAAATGGAAAGGAGGGGGGGGGGGGGAGGTTTCCTCCTCTGCCAGACACATTCTTATACACTCTCAAAAAGAATTCCCACTTGTCACACACAGGCGCAGTCGCGGCTGAACCTTTCATAGGTTACCGGAAGGGCCGAGGGCGGGCCGCACGGAAGCGGGGTTCTCTCGTTCCAGCTGGACCTCCGGGCGCGTCTCCCCCCTTGCTCTCTGCCCCTCGCTCTCTGCCCCTCGCTCTCTGCCCCTCGCTCTCTGCTCCTCGCTCTCTTTCGGCGCGACTTGCGCTAAAATCAATAAAATTACCAAAGGAAGCCGCCCCCCGCCCGCGTCTCTTTCCCTTCCTTCCTTCCTCGACCCGCCACGCCGTGACCACGCCCAGGACGTCTGCTGCAGGGCCCGGGGCGGGGGTTTGAGGTGAAGGGGTAGAAAGAGTCGGCACTGACCACTGCGGGGACTGCCGCACGCTCACTGTGTGCACGTACGCAAATCATGTTAGTTTGCTCGAAGCGGCTCGGCGCCTTAGAGAGAGGGGGGGGGAGGGGGGTAAGGGGAGTAAGGGGAGTAAGGGATTGAGGGGGGTGACGGGGGTAAGAGGGGTAAGGGTAGCGCAGGACGGGCTCGGAGAGGTGTGGGGAAGGTCGCCGTCCGCCGGGTACATTTCCTATTCATGGTGCTGGCCGGGATGGGAATGTAATCTGCATCGTTGGCCTACAGTGGCAAACGCACCGTGTAGTCCGTAACGCGTAACGCTTGCTTACATTATGCACGCAACAAAATGGGGGGAAAGAGCGCGGCAAAAGGCAGGCGACGACGACTACTTACTGAAAATCTCCTCCAAAAATCCGACTCAGTAAAACAAGCATAACATGTACCACATGTATTTTATGGTGAGGCATAAACTACATTCCCACCCCAAAACCCTGACAAAAAAGTTCATAAAGACAAAGTATTCCATTTTTTTCACCCCTCTGGAATATCACGAGGGCATCAGGCTCCAACCAACACCAAGACCAATCGACAAGACCAGCATTCATTTTCATACTAGTTTCTTAAATTGTATTTTTCCAGTTTATTTCTTTGCTCGACGCACTTGGCCAATTTGTTGAAGCTACTGTTGTTGTGTTGTTTGCGCCGCTCTCCTCATGCCAGCTGGCGGGTGTCCAGTTTGGAGTGGAGCTGCTCGCCCAGGCCCGCCGGCTCCAGCCACGGCCCGTGGCGGGTGTGCCCGCCATGCACACTCAGACGCACGCACACACTCACACACGCACACACTCACACACGCACACACATCCACGTGCAAACGCGCGTTAAACTATGGCTATTGCTTTAGCTGGCGGAGGAGTCACACAACAACTCGTCTTCAGAGGATTTTGAAGCCCACAATCGGACATATCATATTTTTCTTGCGGGGTCCACGTCGACATAACGGGTTCCCTTACATAAGTGCAAAGGGAATGTGAGGTTAAGTTGCATGGGCCTGGCCAGGCACCGAGCGCATGCGAGTGGCGTCACGGGCTTAGGGCGCGATAACCTGAGAGAACTGCAACACGGATTTAGCAGGCCGACAGACTGCCCCTCTCTACCCCGCCACTCCGCCCCATGCCTCGCCCCACTTCAGCAGCGGCACCCTGAGGATGCCTGACCTCATTCCATAGATTGCGATGATGAGCACCGCCCCGGCGCGGACCGGCGAGTCCAGCGCCCCGCCCCGCCCCGCCGCTCCGCGCTTAAGCCGGTCTCCCCTCGACCCCTTTCCCCCTGACCTGCCACCCCCGCTCCACTGCGCCCGCCTTGGCTCGGTCAACTCGGTTGGCATTGCAGCCGACCTCAAGTAGTATAGCGAGTCGGTTGGTCCCCGAAGAGTGTGTGGCTTGATGCCTACCTACTGGGGGAGAGGAAGGGGGTGGGGGCAA